TACAAGGCCATTGATTTTTGCCTAAGGTTGATTAAAAAAGAAGAAGTTGTGTTCATGCTGTTACATTCATTATAGCCTCATGTGCACTTAAAATCTAATGATCACCTTAAGTTTTTTCTTGGCTGTATATACATGTTTTTCCTTCTTCTTACGTAATTTTTTATATACTTTTTATACTTTTATAATGTATATTGTTTTTCATCATCCTATAGGTGTTATGATAATATATATAAAACAAAATATATTTGCGTCCCATCTTCAAAGCACAGTATGTATTCTCACAGCTCTACATGTACATAAAATAACTACTGAAAATGTATTTATATACACATTCGAAAAGCACATACAATGTTGCCTGTTAAGTTGGAATAACTTTTTCTTAACTCTGGTCATAAAATATGATTTATTCTTCAAAGATAAATGTTACATCTTCTCCGAACTTGAATGATCGATCTCTGTGACTCTTTCTATTCATCAAGGTATCTTCTCCGATCTTGGGGGTTGATTGTTATACAAATAATACACAGCAGTGAAGGCAATAGTAGGAATTACACACGCAATGTACTTTGGAACAGTCAAACGCGCCCGAGGCGATAGCCGAGGGTTTTTGGACTGTTTCGAAGGTACCGAGTGTGTGTAATTTTACTAATGCCCGAACAAAATGATGTGTATTTATTGTTTTATATAAAGATGATGTTTTATTTGTTTTATAAAATGATGTTGTATAACACGATTTTACTAATGACCGGTCGTTAGTAAATTTACGTGTTAGGCAAAATAAATACCTGGTCACGTGTACGCTCTCAACCAATCATTTGATTAGGACCCGCTTCATCATCTCATTAAACATTTTGCCACACATCTCTGTTTTCTGCCACCCTAGTACACTCTAGCAGTGTCATTCCATTCCGTGTCCTAATGTATCCTTCCCCAGTTAGTTATTTTATTTTATTAATGAAGTTATGAGAAGATTTATAACTTTATCTGCTCATAATAAATGATATTCTCACAATCACTTCATGAAAAGAAGTCAAAAAGTTATTCCAACTTTATGCGCAACAGTCTGTATTCGACAATTGTAGTCATTAAGTTTCTTTGCATTGTTATTAAAGCAATTATAATCATATAAACAAATTTTAAACTTCTTTTTTCTAATTATACCAATACTTGTACATATTGTATATTTATGTTCATAGCATATTTTATTCTCAAATCACAGACATTAGGCCCGAATTCACAAAGGAGGTTTGTAGACAAACCTAGGTTTAGGTGCGTCATAATTATGACGCGTCTTGACGCGTTTCAGACCAAGGTTTGTCTGAACCTTGGTCTGAAATGCATCGAGACGCGTCATATGACGCACATAAACTTTGTCGAATTCGGGCCTATTAGAATGTATGTGATGCGATGACGAATCATTAAGAGTTGGAACTAGTCAAGAAATAAAGTCAAAAGGCAGATGGTTCTGGTCGTAGTGAAAAATGAAGAAGAAAACAGAAAAGAGAAAAAAAGAAGAAGAAGAAAAGAAGAACAAGAAGAACAATTAGATAAAAAGAAATAGAAAAAGTAGAAAAAGTAGAAAAAGGAGAAAAAGGAGAAAAAGTAGAACAAGTGGAAAAAGAGGAATAAAGTCAAATTAGACTCATTTCTCTTGATTATGTTGAAAAGTTCGCATTACCCCTTTTCGTAGTTTGATAAAGAAGTTTTTTTCATAGTTTAACAAGAGACAGTGGTATGAAGTTTAACTAGAGCTAACAACTTGTTTACAATAAACCATGCAATACCAACATAGGAGTTGCTATGTCAGACGTGCTGTATCTTCATTAGGAAAAGAAAGGTAATATGGAGGTAGTGTATGAAAGAATGCAATTCTCTTCTGAGCATGTGCTGCGCTGGGGGAAGTTACATACCACTGCATGTCTCTTGTTAGCTCACTAATGATTGACAGATGTTGTCACAGGTTGAATGAGATCGGGAGCATTTTTGTAGGATAGAGCTTAGCAGGTCTAAGATTTTTTTTTTTAAATATTAAAAAATCTATTTAATATGTAAAGATATTTGAATAACAAAATATGAGTTGTATGCAGCCCTACATATCAACAGGAATCAACTTATATTTGGATGTCAACCGACCTTTAGGCAACAAAATGACAGAATTTTAACCAGTATCAATGGTATTATTGTATATACCTGATATTCATGCTAAAATATGATGAATTAGTTGTTCATAATGTGCATCACATTAAATACCTAAGTGCCTATCTGTGAAAAACGAATTGTCCAATTTGTTTTCATGTCTTACTAAAAAAAAAAAGGTTTATTGGGGTGGTATTATCATGATCATTAAGGGGGTTCTAGCATCAAGGGGAAGGAAGATAAGGGGAGGGGGTATTATTAAGAATGATATGGTCGGAATGTGAATAGGCAAGGCCCTTGATTAGGAATAGGGGTGTCCTATCCTTTTCCTTTCTACCATTTCCCGTCCCTCTTTCGCTCTCCATGTTTTATCTCTTTTACTACGTTTTGTTTGTGTGTGTGCGTGTGTGTGTGTGTGTGTGTGTGGGAGGGGGGTGGGACGGGGGAGGGCACGTGGCCTTTTGTCTTTGTACCCTACCCCATAATAAGCCCCATAATTTACTACGAGCGAGCCATTATCATGGCGGCACACTTCACTCAAATATTATCCATTCGGGGGAAAAGAGCACCCAAACGTAATTACAAATAAAGTAGACGTTGCAGAATCCAGACCAAAAGTGCCCTTGATAATATGGAGAAGAGCATAATTCATTGCCCTTCACATCAAATAATTACAACAAATTTACAGATAATCCATGAACATGGTTTGTTTCTCATTTGTGTAATAGAGTGACAATTTAGCACCTAACGATATCAAATTTGACTACTAGTAAAGGGTAAAGAGTTTCATGAAAGCCAAATAGAATCACTTGCTTTTGCGGAAGGGGTTGGTTAGTCGGTGTCGATTAAGTGTAATTATCAACAATTTGAAGTTGTAAGGTTGAACAGTATTTTATTTAGGATGTGACCATGAAGTATCGAAATTCAAGCTTACTATTGAAATTCTCGAGGGGAAATGTAGGCATAGAAAAAGAGTATTACTGTAATCATGGCCGGGGAGGGGCGGTAGTGAAATTTTGTGAAAATAAGGAGGAGAGGGGCAGTGTTCCGAAAAATCTCTTATTAGAAAATGAGGGGTTTCATGTCTGTATCATGTGCTAATTTACAGAAAGATACATCCACCAACCAAAATGTTTTCAAAATGTCGTGCTCAAGCGACTTTAATTTCCAAAAATGTTACGAAGTGTATGGATGATACCGAAGGTGATACAGGAGTGTATCTTTCATACTTAATCTACTTTTCCTAAAGTGTACCAATCACGTGATTTTTAAAAAATTATTTTGTATTTATATATATATATATATATATAATCAACCTAAGAAACCTTTACTCTGCAATCGATTGATATGCTAAGGGTTTAGAGGTATAAAGAAAAAAAGGATAATTAAAACCCCGCGCAAGAAACTCAAGTCTGACTTAAGTTTCTCGTGCGCCTTATATCATGAGCACGTAGGGGTGCCTAGAGGCTAGACCAGTCTACTAAAAAAAAAAAAAAAAAATCACTTTCAAATATACTGAGAGTGTATTGAACTACAATTAAAACTTCATTGTAGAAGTAATATTTGAAACTCATATTTTGAATACAGTGTATAGTGTATAGCAACATGGAGCTCTTTATAAAATCAAGAGCAAAAACATGTTTTGACGATTAGTACATTTGAATCATCCTTGTCTTTATCGACAATATATTTCAGGTATGACGAGAGAAAGATTTTGTATCACTGAACCACTTTGTAGGCTGATAGCGATAATCATCTGAGATTTTCAGGAACAAAGCAGGGTTCAAAAGGTACAAGTACTTTCTTTCTTATCTCTTTTAGGCTTCGTTGGGCGGAATCTTCGTCCTCGGGGAAATAAACGCCTAACAAATAATTTAAAAGCGGAAGTATTAACATCATAACAAAAACAAGTCAATGTACTTTTGGAAATCGTGATCATTTCATTCAAATTCGCAGGAATTCGCAGGAAGTATTTGTACACACAAAAATTCATTCCACAACGAGAGTTCCTTAGATGGGAGTCCATTAACTTTATTGAGAATATTAATCGTTATTGAATAGACACTATTTTGGATGAACAAAGCGCGTGTTCTATGTTCATCATTCCATTTTGTAATCACTCTCTTCAAGCTAGACCGCATCATTTCCAATATAAAGCTGTGATAGTAATGGCTTTTCCGGGAGGTGGATTTGTCAATAAGCGAAAGTGCTTGTAAAGATGAATGAAAGTTAATGCTTGATTAGATGACTGGCAGTTGGCATCCGGTATATAATGACGGATGAAGAGTCGAGATTCTATAAGGGGGGGGGGGGGGAGCTGGGAAGGGGAATGGGGCTCTACCCCCATTTTATAAATTCAAGCTCTACCTCCATAACAAAAATCTTCTAGTAGTACCGCGCCTGGGGTTGAATTGTTTGATTTCCCACCCCAAAAGCCTTGTTCTCACACAACAAGGGGGGGGGGGGGGAGAGAGAGAGAGAGAGAGAGAGAGGGGGGGGGGGCAATTAATAGAAAGCTTATATATCGTCTTTTCTTATCCAAAAGAGCATTAAATCTGTATCAAAGCATATGAGATAATGCCCTTCTGGCTCAAAACAGACAATAAACATGCATGGATGCTTATTTGAGAGTACAAGTAACCCAGCGAATGAATCATGTCCGAACGATTTTAACGTGGAGAGAAAAAGAGAAATATATTATACACCTTAAGGGATTGACAACAGATAAGTAAATACTGTCTAAACCAACATAATTATAGAAACACAATTAGGAAAGGAAAAAATAGGTATACTCCTAGAAACTACCCCCCCCCCAAAAAAAAAAAAAAAAAAAAAAAGAAAAAGTGGACTAAACGAAAACTTAACTAGCTGCTGGTGCCACCCTAAAAAGACAAAAAATAGTAAAACGAGCTCAGTTAGCTTCACAATCCTATATACATGCTATACATAAATAAGTGAGTATGCTTTCTTTGTTTGTTGCAAGCAGCTACTTATATTCCATCGATATATTGCTATATTTAAAACATTTTTTTTTTTACCGTTTCATGAATGGAGGAGTCTTAGATTGTTGACGTATTTAACCCTTGAAACCATATGCCGTAATTAGAAAGCAAGCCTTTTTCTATTTCCGCTAAATTGTTTTAATCATGCATGCATCATTGATATAACCATTGCAAATACGTTTGTACACAACCCCTTTATGACACAAATCAACTACTTCATCAGTAATAATGTTGAGAAAAAAAAAAAAATCAAATTATCCGGACAGTGCAAATGAAAGAGGAAGATACGTCATAGAGATATCAATTTGTGTTTCGAACAACAACAACAACAACTATAAAATTGGCACATATAATAGTGTCAGTGATATATATATGATATAACATTACCGTTACACTCAATTAATTAACAATAACAACAATAACATCGGTACTAATAACAGTGGCAGTGATAAATATGATACAATATCAACAATAGTAATGAGGCATTTAGGAGCACTATGAATTACCTTAACACTTATTAATTAACATCTTAGATTTTACATGTGTTTAACTAATGAAACCGTTTGCCGTAGCTAGAAAAATTAGACATTTTCCATTTCCTCTAAAATAGTTTAATCATGCACATAATAATATCGAATATTTAGGAGCGCTAAACACAATAAGTACCATAGCGCTTACAAATACAAATATATGAAAAGAGGACAAAAAAGTACAGTACAGGAAGTGTACCAAATAGATCATTGGGGGAAAAGGTGAGTTTTGAGGGATCTTTTGAAGGTGGCAAGAGAGGTAATTTCCCTTATGGAAAGAGGGATGCTGTTCCATGTCTTTGATGCCGCTACTGCATACTCTAGATATAGCATTACCGTTTTACGCAGCCACTTTATGAAACAAATCGTATATACGTCATAGAGTTGTCAATCTGTGTTTCAATGATTACAACAACAACAACAATGAAATAAGTACTCATACCATGACAGTGATACAAATGATATCATATTAACAAAAGTGAGGAGGTATTATATAGGAGCAATATGGATTACCGTAACACTTAATTAATTAACACCTAAATCTATTACTTCTAAGATAGTTACGTCTACGGGGATCTTTGAAAGGGGAATTCATATATTTATTTTGAGTTGATTTTTTCTTTTCAATTTTTTTGTTGCAATGTAATTCTGTACCATGTTTTTTTAGTTGATATAAAGAAATACATTGAAATCAACATTGAATCTCAATTTCGTCTGCAATGTACAAAGACAAATCTGTGCGAAACGTAGTGATACAAGAATATACACATTTTAAACTATACAATAATCATTATAATAGCATCCAGAGTTCTACCACCATAATCTATCGCCATACTTCATGCCACTATACACACGAGCTTATTATTTGCACCCTATTTCACACCAGCTGTCTGATTTCAGTTATATTTACACAAACATGGCGAGTAAATTTGATTTCAATTAGTCAGACATTGATTCGTTCCGCTTACGGTTGACAAGGAATGCACGCCACTACCATCCGGATGAACGCGGCGATTTCGGCACGTAATTCTAGCCCACCATCGCCTAAAAACAAGCCGAAACTCACTCTTGCGCGCGTAAATAACGGGGTTAAATGCGCTGTTGAAGTGACTCAAAAGAACAGTTAAGTTAAGGAGATGTTGGTTGATACCTGGGACTATACCAAAAGCTATGATGCTGTCTAGAGTGAATATTGGACACCATGTAAAGAAGAGAAAGAGCATCAGAAAGCAAAAGAAGATCGCTTTCTTGCGCTCGGCTTCGACTCGTTTGAATGAATTTGGAACGCTGCGAGCGCTCCCATCCTTTTTATTAACATCATTAGCTTTTCTACCCATCTTCCCACAATTGTCGCTACCGTCTCCACATCCGTTGTCCTTCCTGTCGTTTTTATCAATGCTCGGTTGGCGTGAAATCCCCGACGCCAAAACGTCGGGCGATTTGTTTTTCGCATTACCGCCTTCAGGGTGATCTTTGCCGGTTGAAGGATCCTTTTTTGAAGCGCCTTCAGATGGGGCTGCAACCTGCAGTCGCGTTCTTATCTTCTCTAAATCCTCCAACTGGTGCAGCTGCAAAAGAAAGAAAACACGAAGTTTTGAATTGATCAAAATATTCAAAATATATATGTACCTGTAAAAAAATGCATAGTAGAAACAAAGTTTTGTATAATCGAAACAAATCTTTATCCAATGCCTAACTCTCTTCTTAGCACCTATCAAAATGCATCATTATACAAATTTTGTTTTGGTGCGAGTGTGTGGGTGCGTTTTGTGTATGTTCGTGCGCTCAGGGGGGGGGGGGGTGTAGGTCCACACTTTACAAACAGACAGTTGAATTTGAATTTGTCCTCCATTATCTAAATATACCTTTTTCTACTTGAAAACCGAATTCCCACACTACACGTGATAAAAATGATAAAGCGTAGATCTATTGCAAATGGAAATTTGATAAATGAAGCACAAGAAATAACAAGTGGAGGTTCAATAGTAATAAATAATACTAATATAAAGTATTTGTAATGCCCCAACTCCACATGACTAATGTGTTCGAGGCGCATGGAGAAGAAAAATTATAAGTACACAAAAATACACACAAAAATACACAAAAATGAACAACGACATGTGAAAGTAACTCTAAATCTACTGAAAAGCCGCTTTGAACAAATGAGTTTTGAGGGCATGTTTAAACCAATCTACACTTGAAATATAACGAATATATTGTGGCAATTAATTCCATAGGTGAGGTCCAGCTTGTGCAAATGATCGATCCCCCCATGATTTCTTAATTTTCGGAACAGCAAGCGATAGAGAATCGGATGATCTTAAGCGTCTGGGAGGATTATAAGGCATCAATCGGAGAAATACCTCATTATCATGAATAATATGAAATATGGTCAAAATAATCTATTTTTCTGCTAAGCTTTAGCTCATTCACATAAGAAATTATATTTTTTGACGAATTCTGCAAAGTTAAATGGCTATGAATAACATGTTCATTAAAATTTTGCACCCACAGTCGTCTCAACGTTGATTGGTAAACATAGTGTGAAGCAGTCGTCAGGACAAGACTTACATGACCATGAACATTTTTCGGTTGGTATAACCAGAAACATTAGTTTTATTTAAAGGCACACTGTCCTACTTGTAGCTACTTGCTCCCTCTATATAGAAAACTTCCCAAATCGGTGCCTGTTGGTCCCCCATGATCCTCTTTTTCTTATGTTAAATGAGAGCTGAGTTAATGAGATAGCCACCTGTCACAGTGACCTCGATGGCTCAGTGGGTGGTCTTATCCATTCTAGCTGAAGTAGTAAAGCCTCCCTTTAAAGGCAGGCTTTACTACATGAGCTAGAAGGGATTAGACCACCCAGCGAGCCAGCGAGGTCACTGCGACAGGTGGCTATCTCATTAACTCAGCTCTCATTTAACATAAGAAAAAGAGGATCATGGGGGACCAACAGGCACCGATTGGGGAAGTTTTCTATATAGAGGGAGCAAGTAGCTACAAGTAGTACAGTGTGCCTTTAATAGTAATAATTATAGTGGGTTTTCTGTATAGCGCTCATGTCTGTCAGACTTAACACAGCTGGCGCTTCAGAATGGCTGCCATCAATAATAGTCTCTTTTTTCACATCGATAATTCAAAGACATATTGATTAGGTTCCTTCTTCGCCTATGCGCAAGGTCGCCTTTTTGCCACACGCATAATTTTGTAAAAAATTGATGGAAAGGTCGTTTCCTGCAACACAATGGCTTTGCAAAATTACCGAATTTTGACATTGATCGGCTTCATGACAACCCTTTTAAAGGTACTATGTCCCTTTTGCAGCCAACCTCAAATTCTGTAGAACTTTGCGGGAATTATGAATATGTCATGTATGTCCTATCTGTAAAATTTAAACGTTAGCAGTGTCCTAATATTCAAATTATGCAAGGAAACCTGTTTACTTGCTAGACTTCACTGTCAGACACTATCGAGTGACTGACTGGCTTTTTTTTCTTCTCTGGTAATAACATACATGAAATGAGCTGTAAAGGGTACATGAGCATTTGTCTACATCAATAACCCACTTCTTGTGATGGCCAAAATTAAACTGATTGAATCTTTGCGCAGCATAAAACGTATGACCATTCGGTACAATGGTCTGAAAATCAAGACTGTTACTTATTGGCTCTATAGCTCCTAAGTCGATTTGAAAACCAATAGTCGTTATTTTCCCATTTGAAGACTTTTTCAAGCCCCACTTTCTTTAGGGCAATTCTAAATTAGTATTATCTTTCAAATGCCATTGGAATTTAACCTTTTCATTTGTTTGGCCTGCAAATGGGACATAGTACCTTTAACCATCCATGCTTTCATTCTCCTTAAATTGAAAGGTTTGTTTCCTTTTCGCCCAATATAGCTCACAAATTTCAAAAGGCGAAAAATGAGAAGGATCTCGTCATATCGTACGAATAAAGCCTCCATCCAGCTTCAATTAAAAATCGAGTTCAAATTTGTATAGACATAAAGCTACCAGATACTGTGCATATTTGCGCAAATCATGAAGAACTGTAAGTAAGAAAATCACAGAATGCACTCCTTTCCATATCAAATAACTCAGGGAAGAATTTTATATAGAAAAATGAAGAGGAAAATGAAAGGGGTGAACCTTTCATCATTGAATAAGGAGAAGAAGAAGAAGAAGAAGTCAACTCCGACTGTGACATTAAGGGTTTTACCCCATTTTTTGAACAGCAAGTTGGTCTTCTTCTATACAATATCGATAATTTGATCTATATAGATATCACTACCGGCATACTTTTTTTCTTGGAGGGGAGGGGGGGGGGGTATGGTTGCTACCGCCTCTAAAGTTCCATGACAATAACAAGAAATTGGAATTAAGGGAAGGGAATGAAGATAGAGAGAAAGAAAGTAAGGAAGAAGGAAAGAAAGGAAGAAAGAAAGGAAGAAAAAAAGGAAAGAGGAAAGAAAGATAATTTTATTTAACTCTGTTTACCACTGCCACATTCTATCCTCGTGCTTAAAGATAAACTCCAGTACTGGTAAAAAAAAAAAAAAATTCTCACAGAATCAAACGAAACTTACACTGAATGTTCAAGATTACAAATAAATGACATGTGCCAAACAATTTTGGAAGAAAATGTATACTGGCTGAGTAATGAGCATAGAAATACAAGGAAATCAAGGTAGTACTAGCCCCGACACCATGTGTGTTGTCCCATATATAGCTTTCTATGTGAGTGCTTGTTACTTTACCAAGACTCGGTCAAATTTATTATGATTTTGATGATTCCAGAACCTTGCAGTGCACATCAATACTTACATGCTACATGATCAACTGTTTCTGATCCTTTCCACACCTTTTCTTTCACAATGCAATCGCATTACCAGAACTAAAGTTTATCTTTAAGACATAAACAAATCCTTCCTAGATCAGCCACCTTAATTTTCCGGCTCATTACGCCATTGCTATTGCAATCGATATAACTCTTAAGGACACACATTAGGCCTAACACAATGTGGTACACAATTCGAGAGCAATGCAATTCACTACTTATAACATGTCCAAATCTCTGTTCATTACTCTCCCAGGTGCCCGCTCACCTATGCTGTCAAATACTTGGTGCACTATAGTCATCAATTAAGAGGCGATAATGGCTTTAGTACACCTGAGATGTGTCTTTATTAAATTAAGTGTCATTGCTTATTCACTGCCATTCATCTATCTGATGGCACAGGGCTGTATAACGTTGTTGGGTGCATGCAATGTCATGCAAAATAAACAATGCCAAGTTGCCAACGTCATACTCGATTGTAGACGGTCCTTTCGGGGATATTTAGACAAGATATTACGCCTCCGACAGAAGAGAATGGCTAAAGAAATGATTATTGGAGACAATATACAAGAGAAAGAGAGAGAGAAACAAAAAAGGGTAGTTGCTCTATCAATTTGTAACATGATTGATGATTTAATAATAAATTGTTCCCTTGTGCATATTTTGTCTGACAATCTTCAGGTGTCAACCAAGGGTGTCGATTTGTATCCGTGGTTGGGGGGGGGGGGGATGATAGGTGCCAAAATATTTTCGGCAATGGATCAAAGCAACCAAGAGGTAGAAGCGTGTGGCAGGTTGCTACCCCTCCCCAAGCGCGTAGCCAGGATTTCATTTTTTTTTTTTTGGGGGGGGGGGGGGGCGGTAGTGAGCACGCAAAGCGCGCTCCCTAGGGGGTTGGGTGCAGGGATGAAGGAGTTCCCCCCCTCCCCCGCGAAGCGCGGAAGCTCTGACGTTTTATTAGATTATTAAAGAAAGAAGACGATTCGATGTACCATTCTCGACTCTCAATCCTTGTCTAAATTCAGTTCCCCCCACCCTCCCGCGTGAAGCGCGGAAGCTTAGATGTTTCATTAAATTATTAAAGAAAGAAGACGATCCGTTGCACTGTTCTCGACTCTTAATCCTTGTCTGAATTCAGTTCCCCCCCCCCCCACTCCCGCGCGAAGCAGGGAAGCTTTGACGTTTTAAATAATTATTACTCTTATTCCTTGTCTGAATTCATTTTCGCCCATCCCGCGCGAAGCGCGGAAGCTTTCACGTTTCATTGAATTATTAGAGAAAGAAGACGATTCGTTGTATCGTGTCCTTGTCTGAGTCCAAATCCCCCCGCCCTCCCGCGCGATGCGCGGAAGCTTTCACGTTTCATTTAATTATTACTCTCAATCCTTGTCTATATTCATTAACGCCTATCCCTGCGCGGAGCGTGGAAGCTTTCGCATTTCATTACATTATTAGAGAAAGAAGACAATTCGTCGGATCGTGTCCTTGTCTGAATGCAGTTTCCCCCTACCGCGCGAAGCGCGGAAGCTTTGACGGTTCAATAAATAATTACTCTTAATTCTTGTCTATATTCATTTTCGCCCATCCCTGCGCGAAGCGCGGAAGCTTTCGCATTTCATTACATTATTAGAGAAAGAAGACGATTCGTCGGCTTCGTATCCTTGTCTGAATGCAGTTTTCCCCCCCTACCGCGCGAAGTGCGGAAGCTTTGACGGTTCAATAAATTATTACTCTTAATCCTTGTTTATATTCATTTTCCCCCTCCCGCGCGAAGCTTTACCGTGTCAGAGAAAGATGACGATTCGTTGTACCGTTCTCGACTCTTAATTTTTTTCTTCCTACGTCCTCTTCCTTTCTTCTCTCTCTTCTCTCTCTCTCTCTCTATCTTTGGCCGGCGTTTTTTTTTTTTTTTGGGGGGGGGGGGGGACCGCCCCCATTGCCCCCCTGGCTACGCGCCTGTATCCCCTCTGTCTCTCTCTTCCACTCTCTACTGTTTTGCACTTTTTCGCTTCGCGCTTAACATTTAGCTCGTTGTTTTTTGACGCTTCGGCTTAGCATTCGGCGCACTGCATTTCTATGATGCTGTTGATTGAATAAATTGAATAAATTCATCACTTCCTGATGAAGCCGTATGAACGAGAATTAAATATATTCTTGTCTCATATACGGTTGTCTCATTCACGTATGTATGAGATAGCAACATGTGTATATTGATGGTCATCTTGCAAGTAATAACCATTAACTACTCCCATCTGGCTCTCATCATTAAATTTTTTTATAGTGAATTATTGGGGGGGGGGGGGGATGATTGTACAGGCCATCCCCCCAACCTGAAATATTGGGGGGGGGGGGGGGATATATCCCCCCATCCCCCGGGATCGACACCCATGGTGTCAACAACGGATTATGCTAAAATATTCGCTGTTTGTGTCTAATCGGCAAAAAAGGAAAGACACAATGATGGACCCTCTAAACCACCATTTCATTTTTGTTGACAGCTAGCAAGGTGACTTTAGTCTAAAATGTAAAAGAAAGAATCGGGATATAAAAAGGGGGAAAGTGCAAACAAGACATTTAGACTAAATGCTCCTTTAGCATATTAGGAAAATTAGCGATTTTCATGATTAAATTGATAGTTCTGTTTTATTTGGTACACATTTTAATGGGTTCTTTTGGTTATATTTTACAAAATTAAACTGGTTGTATTTACCAATCGTTTTGAAAGAGTGCACATAACGGTTGTCTATTTCTGGATTTTGCCTGTCTGAGAGTTTTCAGAAATCATGGTAATATTTCCCTCTCCCTCCCCTCGCCACTTAACAGATGTATGAATCCGTCCTTGGTTCTCTCTCAATAATTAAAATCAATTTATTTGTAAAATTTGGTTTTAATTGGAAAACAGCACATGAAAAAATCCAGAGGACCAATGCTGTCCTATTTGAAATTATACACCACTATAGATGTTTTACAGTGTACTTCACATAAACAGTTCGTAGTAATCAATGATATGTACTAATCTTCGTATGGCTTAAAGGAGAACATCAAACGCCAGACTGGCGATAATTACATATCGTGAAAAAGAACATTCGGATATTTTAACTGTATTTAAAACGATAAAGAAAAACTGGGAAGGTAAAAGAGTCACAGTATTAGAAATGGAACTAAATGTGTGGAGGTAGGTTAAATCTCAAATGGACCATATTGTATGAATAAGAAATGTATATCTGCGGTACATGTATAATTGTATTGTTGTTGTATTGATCTTGTTGAGTTAAGAGGCGGTTATTCCGCATAGGTTATTAGTGTTTATCAAATCACCTTACCTGTTTTGAGATGGCCTTGAATATGCTGCGGTACATAATGCACATAGCGACAAACGGTGGTATCATACCGACAAAGAACAGGAAGGCCAGGTAGTCCATCCTGACAATCTCGATCAGGACACAAAGATCCTTGGTAGCATCACCGTTGTTCCAACCCATCGGCATGACCAAAGCCATGGAGAGCGGAACAGCCCAAGCCAGGAACACATGAAGTATCACCCGATTCGGGGTGGTGATGGTTGAATAGTGGAAGGGTCGGCAAGTGGCGTAGTACTGGTTGAAGGTGTGTGCCAGGAGAGAGTACATGGAGCACAGGTCGAGCAATAGGACGATGGTCAGAAGCGTCATGCAGAGGCCGTAGTTCCTTGGGTAACCGTTGAGGGCGAGCAGCAGGGAAGGAATACCAACAACACCCATGCAGAAGTCGGTAATGGCCAGTGAGACCAGGTAGGTGTTGGGTATGGTGTGGAGCTTCTTGGTGACAGCTACGGCTAACACTATGGTGGCATTACCAACGGCTGCACAGACCCCTAGGATCACCTCACAGGTGTAGTAAGCAATGGTCATCCATGGCATGGAAGGCACTTCATCGAGGCCTTCCTCAAGATCTCCCGATAAAGTAATCGTTGTAGGAGAAGAAAAACCCGGTAACATTGTGTTTGCCATTTGATTTTGATATCTTTAACTTTGTGGGTATAATCAAGGTTCTCAACATTTATCTGCAACGCTAAAGCCTTGATTTAAATTGATTATCAAAATCAGTGATGAGTTGTAATCGTAGCGAATTATTTTGAAAGACAACTGGAGTATAAGTTATGTTCAGGGTTGAATGATATTTTGAATTGACCACGAAGTAATAATCAGTCTCCAAACATTCATCAAGCTGACGTATTCAGTTATAGTACCCAAAGTCGATTACAACTTTTGACTGATGACTGTAATCTACGGCTGATAAGTCCATTGCAGCAGTATGTATAGGAGACCTAAACCCTACTCAACGTTTTTTTTTTAATCGAATGTCATGCGATGCAGGTTGGCTAAGGATCGCTTCAGTCCCTTCATGTATTCTCCTGAAAACAATGATGGCACAATCTACAAAACGAGGATTTTCCAGTTTAGAATCAGATTAGAATACACTGTATTAGACGATCGCAGGTAACTATACCTTAGTCGTTTAAACCTAATATCAGTTCAGGTTCCTTAAGTTTAAAGGAATATATCGGGACTATGCCACATGCTTATTGTTGCTTCTACACACCTTGTTTTTCGCTCATGCTCAGTGAGAATGAGTGCAAAGACATCTGTTGGAAAGTGAAAAATCCCACATTTTCTAAAAAATTCTCTTTTTTTTTACCTTGTCAGAGTTTTATGACGGGAACTACAGCGTCAAAAAGGCGTCACGAAGGTTGTCGTCCTGAGTTAACTGTATCAACATACACTGGATTCGAGCGTCTTGATGTTTAAGCGAACGTCAAATGTTAGGATCTGGCGCCAGATTAGTAGCCCCAAGTTTGCAAACCAAATCGGTTCCTCCTTTTCGAAGTTTGATATCAACGTTTAAGTTTATGAAGCGACAAAAGCGGCGTCGTCATCAAAGCGTTGTGATGAGCCCGTCGGTTTTTGTCAGTCATCTTGTGGATGAACACTCGACTGACAGATGTAAGATAGCTGGCATGGGATTTATATAGCTCGCCAAATGAGCGACAACGCTTGATCACATAATCGGGAGCGCGTGAAATGATTTACAAAATTGGTGCATAGCGGGTATGAGGTACAATTATTTGTGACCTTTGAAGCTTCGAAATATAATTTTCCTTTTCAAAGTTTGAGAGTTGACTTTACATTCATCTTTTAATGAGTCATTCTATTCTTCTTATATCATATGGACTCATTTAATGTACGTTGTATTCTACCTTGAAAGGCTTTGAAAATATTTTAATTTGTTGTATTCATTTGGAGACTGGAGATCGAAAAGATAATTAAGTTATTATAATTATATGTATTTGGGGTGATTTTTTAGTAAATGCGGATCGGATACTGATCTGTAAGGAAAAGGGAGAGGGGGGGGGGGGGGGGGGGCTGGGTGGAACGTTTTTTAACAGAACATTTTATTTTCAAACTAGCAAGCAAACAAACACGGAAACAAGAAAAAAAATATAAAAAACAAACCTAACCAAAGCAGTTTAAGAAATAATCAAAACAAGACTAGAAAACAAACATTCACATTTTTAGGCGGAAAAAAAAGAGAAAATCACTTAAATTTTAGGAAAGAGGAAGACTGGGTTGTCAGTTGGAGACTAACTTCGAAAAAGGGGGCACGTTATCGCTTAGTGTACTTAGCAGATGCCTGTTTGAGTTTTGAGAGGGGGGGGGGGGGGGTGGGGGGCTAATTTTGCTTCAAAAATATGTCACTGTTCCATTTTCGCGGTGATTGGATGGAATTTAATGTCGCCCCATAATTTCAAAAGCAATTATCCAAGCGGCTTTTAGAGTCACCCGACAAAAGGGATGCCATCGTTTAAGTGTCACTCGACCAGGAGTTTCCTAAACCTTTTAAGAACCCGACATACAAAAGGTACGAACTTCGTGCATTACTCTATACAAAGCAAATATAGGTTAATAAACGCGATAAATACATCCGTATTGGTCGAGGAAAATAATCCTTAGTTGCCGTTCGATAATATACCGCAACCCCTGTACCTTGACATTTTCCAGCACATGTTGATTGCGAGTAAGATATATATTTGAACAATAATCTATAAAGGGATCAAATAAATATGTTTTCGTGAGAGACTGGGAGAGATAGATTAAGAAAGAGAGACAGTGAGGTAGACAGAAAGAGAGAAAGATATATATATATATATATATATATATATATATAGAGAGAGAGAGAGAGAGAGAGAGAGAGAGAGAGAGAGAGAGAGATAGAGAGAGAGAGAGAGAGAGAGAGAGAGAAAGAGAGAGAGAGAGAGAGAGAGAGAAAGAAAGAAGGGATGCGAAGGTGAAAGAAATAGATAGACAAAAGTTAGATGGGCTTTTATCATCTTAAAATTCATAGAACAAGAAGTTTCCTATCAACACAATAACTTTTTCACGGAAATCCTCCAAGAATGGGAATCTTCAAAAGAAAATACAAATATAAAAAGGAAAGAGGAAACAAACGAATAAACGAGGTTATTCGGGATCGATATGATTGAGAATTTTTTTTGTCTTAAAACATCATTATTTGTGCTTTTGTATTCTGAATTTAAATTTGTTAAGTGGGAGCAACTGTTTAGACGTACTCGTGTGATATATTTGAAACTTAAGGTTCTACGCAAATATGATATTTAAGGACAATTTGAGAGTGGAAAAAAAAAATCCAAATTCTCCCACTTCCCCAGAATATCCCGAGACTTTTCATGCGAGGACGATTTCTTCTTCGCTCCAATCAATGTCCGAACCCCTCCAATGAGTGAGTCTTGGAGGGCCTAAGCGATTCCTAAACAAAATATCCCACCCCTTCCTTTTCTGACTATTTTGGATCCGCCCCTGAATGGATCAATATTTATGGCATATCATTTAGTATATACTTCAAAGGAATCAGTCGTCAAATTGGACAATAATACTTCCAATTTCAAGTCGTCTATTCAAATGTTTCTGTATAGATACAGGTATCAAACAAGGTTTACTTGTAAAGTCGGCCTTGAGCAGCAATTTTGACGAGGCAGGCTTTGAAAATCTGATATCAAGAGGATTTGGTGCTTTACAGATCTTAAAAGGTATTAATTTCAATAGGTATACATGATGTGAATAGAGAGAGCCTAGGATTTTCGTCATTTATGACGTCTTAGAGGAAAACCCATATTTTTAGTTTTAAATTATATGCAATCTTAAGTAGACACACGAAGAATCAAAAGTGTTTTGAATTGATGCAAAACTCATATCATTGCGAAGGGGAAGCCTTACTGATCAAATACAACAACTCTCCTCTTCCAGATATATTTGGGGCCCGCAGTAATCAACTCTCAAAAATGTTAGTTTGAGATCCAGATTTTCTGCCTTCAGCGGTCCTTTGTAGAGCGTCAATATTTGTGACGTCACGCACGGGACACGGCTGGCTAGCTGCAGACTCCGGTACCGAGCTGTTTGTCCAGTGTGTGACGTCACTATTCAGAGCTCGCTACGCTCGTGTGTTTGGCTTACGTTCGGGGGCGCTTGGGGGTCTAAGAAGGGTCTTGAAAAATTGCATTTTACGCCTTTCCATGATATCTATATGATTTCTCAGCAAGTTATTCGTGTTTTTTAAGAGAAAATCTTTCCATCCATATGTAATTATTAGTTGTTAGTGAATTTTATTTGTGTAGCTCCTTTAAGAATGCCACATGACACAGGTATCACGACATGGTTTACAAACGCTTAAAGGCACACTGCCATACTTGTAGCTACTTGCTCCCTCTATATAGAAAACTTCCCCAATCGGTGCCTGTTGGTCCCCCATGATCCTCTTTTTCTTATGTTAAATGAGAGCTGAGTTAATGAGATAGCCACCTGTCACAGTGACCTCGACGGCTCGCTGTGTGGTCTAATCCCTTCTTGCCCAGTAGTGGTGACGGTCTTTAAAGATAAAGTTGAGTTCTGGTCATACGATTGCAATAATTATGAAAGAAACGGAGTGGAATCGATCAGAAAAGGTTGATCACAATGATGTAGCATATGAATATTGGTGTGTAATGCAAGGTCCTGGAGCCATCAAAACGATAAGAAAGTTGACCTAGTCTTGGTAAAGTAACAAGCACTGTACATAGACAAATGTATAGGGGATTACACAAACATGTGGCATAAAAATTGGGCCTCATTTTAAAGTTGTTACTTGTCATATTTAGAATATGAAGGCATTTGAAGAGCCTTGCTTTTTAGGGGACATTTTTCATCTGATGTCCTCCACACTTGCATAATAACAATGATAACGCTCACAAATTATTTTTCACCTCTCCCCAGAACTCATTCTTCTCTTTTAAGCTGCAAAAAACTGTTTTCTTTTGTCCTTAAGCAAGCCATTTTTATCTACATTGCTTTTTTCCTCCAGGTGTTAAGCGGTACCTGCGAAAGTCATTGTAGTTGGCTCAGCATTGCGAACGTCTCTCCAGGGAGTCGAATATTGTGCGGGCAAGCCTGTATACAATGAACTGGGAATTAATATCTGAAAGCGCTTATGCTATGGTCACATGACCCATAAGTAGCCTGCTCGGCGGCCGAGCGGCGAGTTTTTAACCAATTCTGCCCGGCGGCTGCCCGGCCATCGAGCGGCGACCGGCCAGTCACCGCTCGTTGTTAGGGCATCGCTCGGTCGCCGCTGAAGTTTTAGCGCGGAGTTAAAATTTGGGCGGCGCCTGCCCACTTTTCACTCGCCGCCCAAAATACGCTCGGTGCTTGGGCGGTCGCCGCCCGGGCACCGAACTAATCGCTGGGCGATGCCTAATTCCAGCAGCGACCGAGCAGGCTACTGATCGGTCGGTCGCTGCTCTAATTTGTGACCATAGCTTTAGAGACGCAACGTTCTACGGTGTGTTTCTTTTAAAGAAAAGAAACCAAACTCAATCCATCAACCTTTTTGGCAAATAAACATTGGTGATTGTAATATATCATAAAAAGGCAAAATTTCCCCCTTCCATACAATATAACATTATAGAGCCTGATGGGATCATCGAATTAAGACAATTATAAACCACCAATATGATTTGTTTTATGTGCACACCAGAGGGGGTTCTATTAATCAACATAAAATTATAAAAATGGCCATTTATTGAAACTCCTTCTTCTTCTATTTCCCTTTTGTTGTTTAATCCTGCAGCCCTGTATAGTGGGGCAAAATATAGACTCTTATTCAAGATTACAAGATTCAAGATCCCTTTTCTTTGCATTGTGTCTTTGCTTTTTGTTTTTATATTGAACATGTAAAATATATTATGCCCTTGACGATGATATGTTGCTTAAAGACCGTCAATACTACTGGGCCAGAAGGGATTAGACCACACAGCGAGGTTACTGGCAGGTGGCTATCTCATTAACTCAGCTCTCAACTAACATAAGAAAAAGAGGATCATGGGGGACCAACATGCACCGATTGGGGAAGTTTTTTTATATATAGAGGGAGCAAGTAGCTACAAATAGGAAAGTGGGGCTTTAAGGCATTGGTGATTTTGTTGACCCTTTCTGGCAGCGTTATCTGTTGTTGTATTTTTGTTGGAGTTAAACCTAGTTAACAATGATTCGAAGGTTCTGTAAATGTTAAAGCGGAAAACTGTTTGAAATCCAACTACCACATAAGTCTGTGAATATTGATGTGCATCCCCTCTTTCTTTTTTTCTTCTTTTTTTCTGTCTTCTTCCCCTTTTACCAATATTTTGTTCCTCCATATTTGTATTATTATGTATCCTTTGAGGGTAGTCATACTATCAAGCTTTGCTTATTTTGTCAACCCTCCTGTTTGATGTTTTCGATTAGTTACAGCCAGCCTTACTTTATTCTACATATATTCTTTTGTCATGTGTAAATTTGCAATATTTGTTTGTTATATATTTGTAAAAATGCAAAAGAAAAGGAAAATCAAACAGAAATAAATAAATCAAATCAAATCAAAATCAAATATAATTATGATAAATGCAATGGGATAGACCAAGAACAATAAGTAGGTGATGCATCTTTTGCTTAAATACAGGACCCAATTTACTTTTAATAAAGCAGTCGTTTAAATTAGTTAAATAATATGTACAACCTTGACTTAATTCCAATTGAGATTTTGAGGTAGATCTTATCATTATTCTATAATATTTCTATAGTAATCAAAATTGGTGTATGGTTTTTAGAAACAGTTTCATCCTGACGTCCAGATAATTGTAATTTCAGCAATTTTCCAAATTTCCCTGTTCAATATGACATTAATTTCTTCTTATTTTTTGTTTGCTGTTACCACCAATTCATTTATGTTGTGCAATTGATTTTCATAATCAAAAGTAAAATAAAAAACAACATAACAACAACAAAAGTGAAATGGTGAAATACTATTTACAGTATTTTATTTTCTTAATAATATTCGTTAAATTACCTTCATCCAGCAAAACCGAATCTCTCTTGATATCATGATGACCAGAAAGGGCAATAGCAATGATTTATATTGATAATTAGTGAAGTAAATGGGAACATGGCAAGAATTAATTCCTTAAAATTCTAAAGTGCCGTATTAAATGATAGCCATGCTATTAAAAGCCAGGTTAATAATCGGGAGTGCCAGGAGTGTCAAGTCTGACAGATAATGTGCGCTATACCAGAAACCACTATTATTATTATTATTATTATTATTATTACCATGATATATGATGATAATTACTTTGGTCAATGGACATATTACGATATAATTCTTTCATTTTGGGGTGAATATAATAGAAACTTGGCATATGTTTAACAGGATATGTATTAATATAAATATGTTTATTTATAAGACACGTTATAAACTCAAATTTATTTCTACTTCAAATTAACAAATCACTCCTAGTAACCATTGGTCAATATGACACTCTCATAGAGGCTCCAGTTGAAATTATGAATCGACGTGGCAGGAATAGTGCTATTTCTGTCGCCGAGGAATCCGTACATTCACTAGTGGCTAGAAGTAGTGCATTATATATTTGTTTTATATTTTTCAAACCAAAATTCATTAAAAAGAAAAAGTTCTGTGACCGATCAATCGCATATCTATGACGTCATCCATACTATGCGATGGATGATGTCACGGTATAACACATTTTTTGGGGGGTAACATCATAGCAATTTTATGTTTGGTCACATGATGCTTTGTTGACCAATCACTGAACAGACAGACCAGGGAATGGAGCTCCTTGAGAAGGCTAGAAACTGAGAGTTGTGGAAAAGCATGATGGCCAAGTGTCGATGAATAATTATCCAGAGAGAGAGAGAGAGAGAGAGAGGGGGGATAGAAAGAGAGAGAGAGAAAGAGAGATAGAAAGAGAGATAGAAAGAGAGAGAGAGAGAAAGAGAGATAGAAAGAGAGAGAGAGAGAGAGAAAACGAGATAGAAAGAGAGATAGAAAGAGAGATAGAAAGAGAGAGAGAGAGAGAGAGAGAGAATCGCTTAGTGTGTGTATAATCATGTTCCCTCTTTGTCTGTCATAGCGTGTCCAATGTCTCCCTTCCAGCCATCTTGGACTTCTGAAAAGGGGAAATAAAAATAACTATGTCTCGTGATCGTAGAACAAGAAAAAGAAGAACAAGAAGAAGTTTACTTTATGATTTCTCTTCAGGAATGTTAATGTACCATGGAAAGGCTAATTCCAAAGATGAAACAGGGTTCATTTTCGGAATTATGAACGCTTTTTCATTTTCGGAATTATGAACCCTTTTCTCACTTTCCGAAATACGAACCTTTAGAATTATGAACCTTCGGAACTATGAACCCTAATTCATTTTTTATTAATTATGAACCTTCGGATAAACGAACCTTCGGGAAAACGAACCTCCGGAATAAAGCAACAAATGTTCGGAATTATGAACCCCAAGGCATGGGAAATATGAACCTTCGGAAAAAACGAACCTTCGAAAAACAAGTGCCCCCCCCCCCCCCAATACATATAAGGTCGTACAAATACAAATATGCTCAAAAAGTTTAAATAGTTTAAAATAATCGTTGTTTCAATTAAAGAAATAATGTTTTTAGAGGAATTCAAAAGTGACCCAAAGAAAAGAAAAACACAGAGGCTCTCATTACACGTTCATTGATGTATTTATGACGTGATTAACAACAGGTCATGAGAGCTTAGCGTATATTTGTTTGGTTGTGATATAGGGGGAATTTACAGAGTTTAACAAATTGTTCTGTATTCTTACGATGATTCGAATGGCATCAGGCAAGACATAGGTTATGCACTCGAATTTTATCTTTGAATTTCCCACCTTTTTTGCTTTTCTTTTTCCACATGATTGTGAGCGCTGTATTGAAGCCCAGTGAGACGGCTAAAAGTATTGACAAAGAGGTCAATCCTGCTATGACTGCGGCAGACATATATTCTGGGCAAACACACGGAACATCTGAAATAAATATAAAAGTTTCACGGGATTAAGATATCCAGTGTTGAGGAGAACGAATACTTACATGTATATCATTTGGATTAAAAACAATTTGGTTTTTCCAGGGTGTAGCCACATCAGTTACAGCTCTACCTTGTGACCCTGTTATCATTATCACTATTACCCCAGCAATGGCCATGTTCACATTTACACCTGGGTGGAGAGTGGCACGTGTGAATTAATGTCTTGCCGAAGGACATAATAATTGTGCTGGGCTGGGATCCAGTCAAGTAAATAAAACATGGTCTAGATCTTGGGCCCCATTTCACAAAAGTTGTCATCAATGACAAATGATAGTTTTTGTTATAAGCTAGTATCATCCTTGCTTCTGATTGGTTATCAGCAGATTTGTCACTGATTTTTGTCATTTGTCAGTGAAATTTTTCTTTTTGTGTAACGGGCCCCTGGTGTGATAGGGTGAAAACTATGTGGAAAATTACTGGTTATGTTGATGAGATAGACAGTACGACTTTCTTAAGAAATAATTGCGAAAGCAAATCATTTTTATTGGACATCGTGCTGCTGAAGAAATAGCGGGTTGTTTAAAAAAAATTGAATGTTGCCCATCGGGAGACACCGGTGAGAAAAACGCATGATGGCTCAGTCGTTAGAGCGCCCGCCTCATGAACGGGAGGTCGTGGGTTCGAACCCCGGCCGAGTCATACCAAAGACTTATAACAATGGGACCTTCTGACTCCTAGCTAGGCGCTCAGCATATTTGATTGGAGAAGGGTAGTAATAACATATTATGTTATGCAGGGCCCGCTGGAAGAACAGTTTCATAACTGAAGTGGCTACCCTGGGTAAATAAAAGTTATTATTATTATTATTATTATTATTATTATTATTATTATTATTATTATTATTATTATTATTACTAGTACATGAGTGATAGTGTCTTTCTGGCTCTTATCACTTTCCTTAATTATTTTTTTGTTGTTTGTATGATTTCATTTCTGCATTGTTCAACATATTAAAGAGTAATGTACAAACTAGGTTCGTATATATTATTAGCAAAAGTTAAAATAAATGTAATCGTGTCATAGAATAACTAAAATTGAATAATAATGCCTTTATAAAAAATACACAGTTGACAAATTATTTCAGCTTTAGAAAAAATATCGGTTCCGATTTTAACCAGTCGACTACCGAGTTCTCTCTTTCCGTAGGCTTAACACAGGGACCACTAGGTTCCAGTAGGAAATGGGTTAATTCCCGTCTCCTGGAGAACAAAGGGGAGAATATTCTTACATGAATCCAAGGTATAATTGTTGTTGAAGATCGGCAGGATCCAGTCCTCGAAGCGAGTTACTCTGGTATAGACACCGGGGGAGTCTGCATCGCCACACCCTTCACCCCAGCTTACAATACCAACTAGGTAGTACTGGTCGCTGTTACCCCCTCCCAGTGCTACCAGGGGGCCTCCACTGTCCCCCTTTACAAAGAAATAAACATAGAGAATGATATCAAAGGACAAAAATGTATTAATGTGTGCATGGAAAAGTATGTGATATTGAAATGTGCAGGCGCGTAAATAGGTTCAGTGGTAGAGCAGTGGTCTCGTGAGCGGGAGACCCCTCGTTCGAAACGAAGTCAACGCGCTCGTGCCTTTCGCAAGGCATTAATCCTCAAAACCAAGTCCATCGCAGTGGACCTGCTAGGTGTGACTGCTATGCCTTAAAAGGACGTCACACGTAGCAGTCCACGCAAATATAAAAGTTCCTACTGTTGCGGCCCACTGACACAATAAGGCTTTTGTATTCATATTTGATCATCTTTTCGATTTTCCCTTGTTAGTTTAAATAAAAAGTGAAATATTAAAGATATTTCTTGGTAAAAAAAAATCACTACTAACTCAAGCTTTCCAATGATATTGGTGGCATCGAACCTCTGACATCAAAGGTAACAGCACACCTGTAGATTCTATTGTGGAACATTAGAAAACGGCAAACAATTTGTTGGCAGTTGGGGCTCCAGCTCTTAAAACTCCTTGGTCAAACAAATGACGTCGTATGTGCAGCAGTGATTTACCTGACAAGCATCGACTCCTCCCTCTGGCAGGCCAGCGCACAGCATGTTGTCCGTGATTTCACCGTTGAGGGACTTGTTACACTGCTCCTGGTCGTAGATGGGGACGTTCACCTGGTACATCGTGTCAGGGAAATCGGATTCTGGAGCACAGGGGAAAAGTATTGATCAGCTTTGAAGAGGGTCGCAATGACTTTCGAAAGTCAACCAAAGGCATTAGACCTTCAATTTTCAATCAATTTGTTCACCGAAATGCCCTTTAGTAGGTAGCTTGAAAGTCTTTGCGAGAGTGTCGTTCTTATCTTTTTTAATATTAAATATCAAACTTATGTATTTCCAAACGAACGACATGATAAACTGTTTCAAACATGAAAATATAAGCATTATTGCTATAAAAGGCACAACACAGATTACTTAAAATACTGAATTAATATCGTTACCAGGCGCGTACGCAGGGGGGGGGGGGTGGTGGGGGTTAACCGCCCTTTGGTATTTTAATGTGTGTTTTTTTTTTTTTTTTTTTTTTATTATTAAAAAAAAAAATTATGCCTAGGCTGACCTAAAAAAGACGACCTCACCCCCCCCCCGCTTATTCAGCGGCTGGCTGAGTCATTACGACATTTTCGGCCCGATTTCAAAATGTTAACACCCCCCCCCCCCCCCCAATTTAAAAAATCCTGCGTACGCCACTGATCGTTACGTATACATACTGTCTTTCTAAAAGTAATTTGAGGTAAGGACGATAAATCCATGAGATTCACAATGTTCAGGCCAACGCATGATATATGTTCATTGTTTGACACGGCCCCAATGGAATCCTGTCATGTCACTGTTTAGAAATATTATCGTGTTTATATTAATAAATCAAAATCAATTGACAGTAAATAATCATTTCGATGAATATATAGATAAATGAATTAAAAACAAATATAATGATTTCATTTTATTTGCTCACTTCCACTCTGAAGGGTACCCCAGCCTGTGACCGTAGCGACCTTTCCAGCACCGAACTCATCGTCCATATCCCCCGTTGGAAGACAGACCGTATTCACGCGATAATCTTGGGTGAGATTAAAGGGCTGCGACATCCTGAACAAGGCGATGTCGTGGTCATCCTCGTCCTCATCGAGTAGATCGTACTCGGGATGGGTGAAGATCCTGGATGCGCGACGGACCTGGGTGACATCGGTTTTCGATGTGAGGCTGATGGAGCCGACTCGGAACTCAAAGACGTGCGGCGTGCAGAGGTAACACGGGTCCCTTGCAGGCAAAGAGATGATAATGAGACGATGATGACGACGACGATGATGATGATAATGATTAAATGCTATTAATGATGATAAATACAAGTTAAATGAGCAATCAAATTTTCAAATAAATAGTTGAATGAAACAGTCAATTAATATTAATAAGTGAATAAATTATACATGAATACAAATAAAATAACTTTGAATAAATCATTGAATAAAAGAATAAATGAATGTATAGATAAATAAATGCTACATAATTCAATACAAAATGAATTTAAACAGATGATTAGATTAATAGGCAAAATTAATTGATCTGGCAAAGGAAATGGTATAAAACTAAAAATTGCATCAATTGAAAAAGAACCAAGATATCGACGTTCATGAAGAACACATTTTCAACAACAAAATATGGAATTATAAACGTGTAACTGACGTAACGTTGTCATACTTACACACAATGAGCAGCAGTAATGATCCACCACGGGTCGATCAGGGACGCCCCACATATCTGTTCTCCATTCTCAAGCATTGCAACCTGCCAGGGCCAGGCATATTCCTCTGCGGGCTCACCCCCTACGATCTGCGTGCTAATCCCAGCATGTTTTCTACCACATTCGTCGGGTCTTGCTATATGAAAGGGCGAGTCAGAAAGATCAAAGAAGTCGTTTAAAGGAATGGTATTCTACTGATACCACTTCAGATTTACTTTTACTGCCATGATTTCTTCTGCTGCTCGTAATGTCCCAATTTGTCGACACGAATGTCCCACAATGCATTCATCAAAGCCGGAATAGAAGATCAGTCCATGAAATATTATCATTATCCTTATCATAATACACTCATATATACATATTATACCTTTTGGGTTTGTGTAATTATGTATACACAATAAAATAACTATGAGGTGAAAAGAAGAGGAGGAAGGAAATAAATGATCGAGATTGGAAAGTTGCGAGGAGATCACAGAGGACGTATTTGTTCATGATGATGATAATAGTGTTGATGATTGGTGACAGAGGAGAGGAGAGTCGGATGGTGTTGATGACGTTGATGATAATATGATGTTGATGGTGATCAGTGCCGTACGCAGGATTTTTTGAAGGGAGGGGGGGGGGGGGGTAAAAATCGGGCAAAAAATTTCGGGGGGGGGGGGGGGGGGGGGGGTTAGAGGACACTTTTTTTTTTTTGGTCTCGAAATTTGAAAAATTGACATTTTGTTCCGTTTGGGGGGGGGGGGGGTTAGGAGGGCACCTTTTTTTAGGTCAGCCATTGGCATAATGTTTTTGTTTTTGTTTTTATTATTATTATAAAAAATACAAAAAAAAAAAAAACAAACTCAAAAAGGGGGGGGGGGGGTTTAAAAAAACATACACAAAACATACACTTACAAAAAATTCAAGGGGGGGGGGGGTTTAACCCCAAAACCACCCCCTGCGTACATGCGCCTGATGGTGATAATGCAAATATTGAAGACGATGACTATGATACGGTTGATGATCATCATAATCATGATGACGAAGAATGTTCCTGATGATGAAAAAGATATCGATGACGACGATGATGATAAGGACAACGTGAGCTTACCCTGCCAGTTCTGAGTGAGAACAGGAGAAATCACCGCCAGCAAACACACCAGACATAGCCGTGTCAGCATAGTCTTGCCGTTTTCAAATGGAGTGCATTCGTTTTCTCGAAGTTCCGAAAGAGAAAATTTCGGATAGAAGGGGATTCCGAAAATGAAGTTGGGTTCTGTGTCCCAAACGTTAGTTATTCCAAAAAATAATACAAGGTTCGATGTTATTTTCGAAATTATGAAATTTCGGAATGACGAACCTATTTCATTTTAAATTAATCCTATTTTCCATTCGGATACACGAACTTTCAGAATTACGCACTTTTTGGAATTATGAATCTTCGGAATAATTAACCTTCGGAATGAACCTTCGGAAAAACGAGTTTCAAAGATAATCACAGGAAAATCCAATCTTGATAGACAACTGCTATATAAAAGGAAGCATAAAAATCGGAGAAACAGACTGGTGAAACGTGTGAATGCAATCGGATAAAATAGAAAGTTATGATTAAACAAACAAAAAACTACCATAATTATGATTAAAAGTTTCCCCATTGCGATCCAGAGGGTTTCTTTGAGAATTGCAGCATGACAAGAACTCGGCTTTTAATAGCTTAGAGTTTGCATGCAGTCAAACTAAGGAAGCAAAATGCATTGAGTATACTAATAAGCACCTTGGCCCATTGTTATAATAATACATTACCGGGGGGGGGGGGGGTGTTTCACAAAGATCCTACTAGAACTTAACTCTAAGTTAGACTTAACAAGTTATGGGGAGCCACTTGTAGCCTGAAAATGAAATATATTCAAAAGCAAAAATTCAAGTATTTTAGACTTTTCATAAATTCCACATCAGAACATGAAATCTCCTTGATAATAGAAAATATGAATGATTTGAATCAACATTTTATGCCTTTTGAAATAACTTTTAGAAAATGTTATTGGATGTAAACAGCTTTCCATAATAATTGTTGAGTCCCACTTAGAGATAAGTTCAACTTAAGATCTTTGTGAAACCCCCCCCCCCCGGGTCAACTTGAAAAAGCTGGTTCTTCTTTTAATCATAATGAACGAACATGAATGAATGGATTCTCAAAGCTTTAATCAAATTAATTTTTTTAGTTTCTAAGTTTAGCGAGTGAGGAAAGGATTAAGTAAAAATTGAGTCTATTTGTTGTTGTTGGCGTTTTCGTTTAACTGAGACAATACGTACATAATGCATATCTGAAACGTTCAAATTAATTTTGAAATTTAAGTTTGGCAGTGCAATGGGCATAATATGGAAGATGAAAAGGAATATTATACATGTAGTTACAGAGACCATGGCGCTGCCGGAATAGGTCAATGTTTTCAGAATAATGGTAATTTCAAAGTATTCAATGAGCCTCGTTTCAACCAATGAATTTTGTTACTAACAATTCGAAAGAGGAGATTAAAGATGATACATGACATCAGCAGTGTGTATATTTGGTAGAATAATAATACTCACATCTAATATTGTGGATATAGCTGTCCTTTTACGTTACCATTTATTCCGTACTATGCAAAATCTCGTACAGTCATGTATGTATGTTAATCCAATTTTAATCTTCCATACATTATGCGCAAACTTCATGTCCTCCTACATAATTATACTTGCATGAACAAGAATAAAAACGTATCGTAGTTAGTCCACTTTAAAACTGTAAGTCTGTTGATAAGCTACTCAATCATGTACGAATTGTGGACATCGTGTGTTTCTTAAAACGCGAAGTAAGATATCATGCATCAATATTTACTTAAAGGTTGATAACCCTGTGATCTTGACGAATGAACTGGTTACAATGTACTGCTAATTAATGAAGAGAAAATTTATAATGGTCCTGTTAATCTTTGACAGGGCTGTTGTGCATCCCATCAAGAAGATGATGTGTATTGGAATCAGGCGCGTACGCAGGATTTTTTTCAAGGGGGGGGGGGGTTAACATTTATAAATCGGGCCGAAAATTTCGCAACGGCTCAGCTAGCCGCTGAATAAGCGGGGGGGGGGGGGTAAGAAAAAAATCCAAAGGGGGTTATGGGGGGGGGGGGGGGGTTACACACAGAAAAATACCAAAGGGGGGGGGGGTTAACCCCCAACCCCCCTGTGTACGCGCCTGATTGGAATGGTGTGTATCAGCATTGAGGGGTTATTTTCTTGTTATTTGTTAGCCAAAGTGAAATCAATATCTTAAGTTTACATTGAACCAAGATGATGATGACATATTATCGTTGTGTATTTTGTGTTTATGTTACCAGCAGTAAATACATAAATACCGCGCACACACACACACACACACACACACAAAGGAAGCTTGGTAGATCGATCACTGCAATTTATGTGACACTACATTTTTTCATTATATTTCTTATGATGTTGATAATGTATAATTCCCAAAATAACGTAAATACACATTATTCTTAACAACTAAAAATATACATGCCAATTAAAGACTCATCTGAGTTATCTATCGTCAAGATATTGATAAATGTGAATGTTATAGAGCTTCTATATCTATCAGCTGTCATAAAGAAAACGTTTTTTTTAATATAATTTGTCAGTTATAATTAAGTAGATCGAAATCCTCAAACTCCTTTTTAAGGATAACAATTGTAACAACAGCATATACAGTGTGAGTCAAAAAAAAGTTTACACCTAATTATTTAAAAAATCATCTATGAAAAGTAAATCAGTATACAGCTTATGAAAGAGTGTTTTATCCCAAATCATTTAGTATCATTTTGTGTGGTATGTGTTCACGCTTGAATGAACATAGGGCATAGACTTGCGCCAAAGTTGCTTAGGTGACTGATGTTTGAATAAAACAATTGGGATTTGGGTATTAATCCGATCTTTGCAGATCCAAATAACACCCCTAACAAAATTAATCATGCCACACATATCAAATATCTAATATCAAATATCAACCAACATTTGTGCGCGCGCGTGTGTGTTTGTGTAACTTTGCTTCTACCAAAAGCATATGCAATGCATTTCATTTGATACATTCAATTCATTCTCTCACTCCGCTAATCCCAACATGATACATACTAGGCTGTAGGCAGACACTGTATAGACACAAGTCATTCCTTTAATTCAAGGCCTATATAATCATCCTTAACAATTAAAGAATATTCTTATTAGTAAGTTTAAGGCATGGAGTTTGTCACAGTTTAGGGAATAAGGAAATAGTGATATGCTTTGTACAGGCAGGCTCAGCCCTTGCATTAAAATTCACATGAGAATTGCTATATTGGAGATGACTATATAAAGAAGTACTATGACTGACCAGACGATCGAGTGAAGGAGTTTAGAGATTTGCCTTTTTGTTATGGGGCACCTATATAGATCTATCCTACTACCAGGCGCGGATCCAGGATTTCTTAGGGGGGGGGGGGCCCAAATTTGAAATTATGCGAGCCAAATATTGGTACGTAATAGTGACCAACAGTGACGTAATGCGGGGGGGGGGGGTCGGTGCAGGGAGGGGCGATTTCCCCCCTCCCTCCTCCGCGAAACGCGGAAGCTTTGACGTTTTATTAAATTATTAGAGAAAGAAGACGATTCGTTGTACCATTCTCGAAAATAATTCTCGTCTGAATTTAATTTTTCCCCTCCCGCGCGTAGCGCGGAAAAAATTTACGATTTATTAAACTATTAGAGAAAGAAGACGATTCGTTGTCGAGTTCTCGACTCTTAATCCTCGTCTGAATTCAGTTTTCCCCCTTCCTCGTGAAGCGTGGAAGCTTTTACGATTCATTAAATCATTAGAGAAAGAAGACGATTCGTTGTACGTTCTCGACTCTTAATCCTTGTCTAAATTCAGTCTCCCCCCTCCCCCTCTTGCGCGAAGCGCGGAAGCTTTTACGTTTCATTAAGCCATTAAAGATTCGTATTACCGTTCTCGCCTCTTAATCCTCGTCTAAATTTGGGTTCCCCCCCCCCCCCCCCCCCCCCCCCCCCTCCTCCCGCGCGAAGCGCGGAAGCTTTTAAGTTTCATTAAATCATTAGAAAAACAAGACGATTCGTTGTACAGTTCTCGACTCTTAATCCTCGTCTGAATTCAGTTTTCCCCCTTCTGCGCGAAGCGTGGAAGCTTTTACGATTCATTAAATCATTAGAGAAAGAAGACGATTCGTTGTACCGTTCTCGACTCTTAATCCTTGTCTTAATTCAGTCTCCCCCCTCCCCCTCTTGCGCGAAGCGTGGAAGCTTTGACGCTTCATTAAACTATTAAAGAAAGAAGACGATTCATTGTTCAGTTCTCGACTCTTAATCCTCGTCTAGATTCAGGTTCCCCCTCTCGCGCGAAGCGCGGAAGCTTTTAATTTTCATTAAATCATTAGAGAAAGAAGACGATTCGTTGTACCGTTCTCGAAAATAATCCTCATCGGAATTTAGTTCCCCATCCATCCCGCGCGAAGCGCGGAAGCTTTTACGTTTCATTAAGCCATTTAAGATTCGTATTACCGTTCTCGCCTCTGAATCCTCGTCTGAATTCAGGTTCCCCCCTCCCGCGCGAAGCGCGGAAGCTTTGGCGTTTCATAAGATTATGAGAGAAAGAAGATGATTCGTTGTACCGTTCTCGATTTTTAATCCTTGTCTGAATTCAGTCCCCCCCCCTCCCCTCCTGCGCGACGCTGTGACGTTTCATTAAATTATTAGAGAAAGAAGCCGATGCGTTGTACCGTTCTCTATACTGTTAATCCTTGTCTGAATTTCAAAGATGTTCTTTGTCTGCTCCTTTTTCTTCCTACGTCCTCTTCCGATTTGGGGGGACCGCCCCCCCCCCCTGGCTACGCGTCTGCGGTCAGATAAACACATTTTGATACCTTGTCTAACCCCGCAAGCGGTCAGATAAGCATTCAAGGGCCCGTCTTAGGGCCCCTGGTGGGGTCGAGGCGGCGGAGCCGGCACTGGAAGCCCAGGGGTTTTAGGCGTTTAATTAAGGTCAGACGAGCATTTTTTTGGTATACCTTATTATTTTGTGACACTGGCAGGTCACTATTTGGCGTGGGGTCCAGGGGGCGGAGCCGCCAAAAATCAGGGGTTTGAGGCATTAAATTACCGTCAGATGATCATCTAAGGGCCCGCCGTAGGGCCCTAGGTGGAATCCAGGGGGCAGAGCCCCGGAGGCTTAGGGGTTTTAGGCATTAATCACGGTCAGATTTTGATGCCTCATTATTTTTTAACACTGGCAGTTAACTATTCTTCCATTCTTGCTCTCATTCTATATTATTTCTCTTTAATATACTTTTTCAAAAAAGTGGGGGTGGGGGGGGGGGGGGGGGGGGGGGAGCTCGGTGCTCCCGATCCCCGCCGTACCTCGGGCACTGACATGTAGGAATCTCAAGAATCATATTTCTTGCCTGGCTGTAAATTTAGGAATTTGTCATTTTCCAACAAACACATACAAACGTATAATTTACTTAAAAGTGAGGAAAAATCTCGGAAATTATGTCATATCAGCATTATTTGTAATCCACCGTTGTGGAATTAGAAATAAACCACGTTTGAATTTGATTTCCCCCAAGCCCCCCCCCCCCCCCATCGGTACGCCAGTATCTCCTCTTTTCCTTTTTCTTTCCCTTTCCTTCCTTCTCTCTTATTTTTTTGATTGGGGGGAGGGGGGGGGGGGGTCAACAGCCTGGGAGGCAAGGCCCTTTCGCCCCCCCCCGATCTCCTTTTTCCCCCTTTTCTTTTCTTCTTCCTCTTCTTTCTTTCCCTTTCTCTCCTCTTTCCCTTTCCCTTCTTTTCCTTTCTTCTCTCTCTTTTTTTTTTTTTTTTTTTTTGCGGGGGGGGGGGGGGGGGGGGGGGGCCAAGGCCCGCTCGCCCCCCCCCCTGGATCCGCGCCTGCTACTACAAAGCATATTTAGTTACACCTATCTAGTATCCGATGTCGAAAATACGGTCTCAAATGCTAACTGAATGTGCTTCGTATAGTAGGATAGATAGGTGCCGGATAACCAAAGAAAACAAAAAGGCAAATCTCTAAACTCTAGCTTAGTGCACTCGTCTGGTATACTTTTGGGTTTTCCTTTTTCTTACAATTTATATGTTTAGTTCTAGTTTTGTTCAAAAGGAAACGTTGATTCAACAAGCAATATTCAGCCGTATGAGGACAATCACCCCCTGGACAATCACCCCCCAGAAAATTATCCCCCGGAAAACGACCCCCCCCTCCCATGACTACCCCAGAAAATTACCCCCAAGGACAACCACCCCGAGGACAATTACCTCCCTGAAAATTGCCCCCAAAGACAATTATTGTCGAGTATAAATTTGTGTGGCATCCTATTGTAATCATAACAAATAAGATATTTGATCCAGGGATGTCTGATCATATGTATATCTGGATGATTCAAGGCAAGGGCAACCTCGCCAGCCCAGCACCGAGCGAGCCGATCGACCTCGGCGGCGCCTGCACTACACTAACGTCCTGGCAAGCTGGAGAAGAATGGACACGTTGATATGTCGAGAAACTTACGGATCTAAGTCAGATCCAAGAGACTATTTGTGTAAAAATGATGGCACAATATCAGAGTCACGATCTGGTAACAGAGGGCTGTCATCTATTCTGCACTTCTTACGGGTAAGGCTGGCATTTTGATATCAATCATTGTCAATTTTCAATGCTCAGCCCCACATGTGGTTATATTTGTTAGTTTTAATGTAACGGGTGATACGATAATGTTATTTTTCTTGATAAGTACAGTCTACCGCTTGGTATTTTTCCTCTTCTTTAGATTAAGCATTTTCACCAATTAGGCTGACTAGAAGTTAAGAGACCTCTAATTGTGGGAAATTGGGGTTACAGTCTAGCTAGATCTAGAGACTAGACTCTACTGTGAAATTACAAAGCATTAAAAAAACATTAACATTTTAATAAAAGCTATTTTTGTAGAACTTTTAACAAAAAAAAAATAAAGCTTCTAGTTGGCCTGATTAGAATGTCACATGAATAAGTGTGGTAGGTTGTAGAGAAGTAAGTATACTGGTTTTCAGTCCAGAAAAAAAGGAGAGGGAGAAACATTGAATGAGAGAGAGAGAGAGAGATAGAGAGAGAGACAGGGGGGGGGGGGGGGGGGAGAGGAAGGGAGCATGAAAATTGAGAAGGGATGGAGAAAAATGGAAAACATACGGCTGAATTTGGATCGAGAGTAGGGCGAATAGGAGTGAAAAACAGAATGGAAAAAAGGAAAACTTGAAAGAGAGAGAGAGAGAGAGAGTGAGTGGTGATGAGATGGAAAGGGAGGGGGAGAAAGCACTCCTACAGGAGGTCTAACCGTAAACAGTATTGACCAGTCTACGTAACTGATTTTTATGCTTTCCTCTAGAGTAGTTTGCCATCAGGTTTGATTTTCTTTTAATATATCTAGACCTACATGTATATTCTAGAACTAGAACTATTCTAGAACATTCTTCACTCAATTGTGTTTTTGATTGATCTGCTGGAATCCTTCTTTTCCTTGTCATCCTATTATTATTGCAGGTTGTATTTCTACCGCAAGGGTATCCAGACAGTGTGAGCAAGGACTACCTAGAATACCAGATATGGGACACTGTACAGGTAATACTCTTCTGGCTCTCTGCACTATAGATGACAACCTTGTTTCTCGTACAAAGCTGTACCTGTGAAATTTTCTACATTAGCTGTAGTGTAGAATGGTACAAGAAATAGATGTATATGTTCTAAATCCAAGAGGAAGGAGGAAAAAATTCATTTAGATAATTAATTTTCATCTTGGAAACTCAAAATTTGTAAACAAAAAATTGTATTTCAAAAGACCCTGACTCAAGTCATCTGACAAATGTATGTAAATTCAATCCTACATTGATTTCAATGTTTTCTTTTACTAGTGCAGCAGCGATTCTGTTCTACATACACTCTCACACTGTGTCACGTGTGACTACATATATTCCATAGAATTTGTAACCATGAGCCTTCATCAGTTTTGTTCAAAAGTCTGATGCTGCTCCGGAATGGATTCTTTGCATACAACATCAATTTCTAGCAGGGTCATTATGGTTTCAAATTAAAAAAAAATATTAATGATAATAATAATAGAAGAAGAAGATTAATATCATGATCCTTATCTTCTTTTCTGTCTGCAATTTATTAGGCTTTCAGTAGCAGCATCACAGGGACCCTGTCAACCCATGCCATGCTGAAGGGTGTAGGAGTAGGAGATGAGTCTGCCTCCGCCGCTGCTGCTACCATCACATGGCTACTCAGGGGTAAGGCATGGGATTAGGTATAGGGCAATGGTTCTTCAGTTAGGGGAGGGGAGGGGAGGGGGGGGGGGTTGGATGATGGTAGGGAAAGGGGAAGGAGAGGGAACTTGGAATTCTCTCAGCTATGGGGAGTGGTAAGAAGACTTTTGAATTCCTTGTAAAGTGAATAATTCTCACAATATTGATGATGGATAATGGTAGAGGATGAGGTCTCCTTTATAAGGGTACAGGGACGTCTCTAGGCGTTGTGGCGTGCGCCTGTAATCCAAATAACAATGGAAGTTACAAACTGATTTAGCCAAGGACGCAGGTTCGAATCTGAGTCGCGTCTTTCGGATGGTGACGTTTAAAGTTCAGTCCCCAGACGTAAATAATCATATCTGATTGATACACGTCTGTAAAAACCAAATACACACACACACACACTCTCAAAATGATACGATTGCTTTTCACTTCTGTCAGTACCGGTTGATAGTTGTTTACCAAGTATTACATGATTGCAATTTAGTGCAGATCAACGCTTTTCTGTGCCGGGAAGTCTCACAGCACCCTACATTTTCAATTTTACTGTTCATAAGCTGGTCTCTGACCTTCATCTGGAAATATTAATAGATTTTGAAATTCCATGCATACATGTACAGTGTAATCCTATTTCATTGTGTCTTTCAAAACCCAATTATAGTTGGGTCTTATTTATCGGTAGCTCTATGAGAAAATACAGAAGCATTTGTTCAGAATAACAATGAAAGTAGTGATTATATGAAGTATTTTGAATTTGATATTGTTTCTCTTTTATAGATGGCACAAGTATGACTGGCAGAATCGCATTTGCTTGGTACCAAGGGTCAGTTACATTCTTCTTTCGTACATACCTCATTCTAAGACAAATTTATGAATAGTTCAATAATTCATGACTATGTCAGAATGTTGAATAGTATATGTGACCATTTGAATACTGAGTCTGAGATAAATCAGGCTGGAGTCGATGGGAAATGTGTGGTATATATATAAAAATCAAATTATTATATCCATTCGGGTGAATTAATCAGGCAGTATTCACTAGTGTCAACCAAGACATTTTGAGATGTCCTGTATGGATTCTCATTGACAAGTCTCACTTTCTCTTTTCCATAATACTTATTCCTTTTCGATACAGTGCACAACATATCTGATGTGAGAAATGATTCAAATATGTAGAATAAACAATGATGCATTCTACCCCCCTTTTGTCTTCATAGGTCAAGCCTGGATAGTGATGCAAAAAGATGGAGGTAAGCATTTATTTATTTATTTTTTTTTTTGGGGGGGGGGGGGGGAGGGGGGGGGAGGGGGGGGGGGGTGGGAGTTTTTTTCTTTTTCAGTTTTATTCTTATCATCTCTATCTCTATTTTCCTATCTGGTTTTCAATGGTTTCTTGAGATCCCCCATTTCAATACTCCATCTGACCCTCTCTCTCACTCTCTCTCACTCTCTCTCACTCTCTCTCTCTCACTCTCATAAATAGCCAGTTGTATCCATAGGGTTGAAGACTAACTAAAAGGGTGAATTTATCAAAAAGAGGTAAAACTATATCAAATTATGATCAAAATTATAAGTAGACATCATAGTGCACTTACAAAACGTGTCTTCATGTTATAATAGCAAAGTTGTATATGTGCTCATTGATTTTATCAATTTTAAGACTACTTTTTTTCTTTCTTCCATGCAGATTGTTTGCAGACATCATGAATGATGCGGCAATGTGTATAGAGCTTGTCTCTGTTTTCTTTCCGCAGTACTTTGTCATCATTGCATGTGTGTCATCACTTTTCAAAGTAAGTATACTGCCCTCTCTGGGAGTATTGAAACAGTTTAATGTGGTTCACTTCTTCTGCCTTCCCATTTCCTTTGTACTCAACAATCTGAAATGTCTATTTTTGCCCTCAAGAAAGATTTCAAGGCACACATACACCCTAAATATATTTGTTGGAAGTATGTTTTTATACAGCCCCTGTATGAAACAAATCCATCCTGTTATCAATAATTAAGAGAATTAGAGTTTTGAAATTGTCTGTACAGAGCAAATGGGAGGGGAGCTTGCAAGGTATATGTATGTCACAAAGTTACCAATTTGATCGCAACTTCAAAAACTCATAACTTGCTTATTTAGAAATCTGATTTTGCTTAAAATTTCACTGATTGATCCTCTCCTTCTGCTTCTATTTAAACCAATCCTATATCAGGGTGGACTTCCTTATAACTAGAGCGACATGATATTATATGGATTACGTTTTCGTAACTTTCAGTCGATGGTAGGGGTCGCCGGGGGCGCAACGAGAGCCGCTCTCACCATGCATCAGGCTCGGAGGAACAACATGGCTGATGTGTCTGCTAAGGATGGTAGCCAGGTAAGCTTGCAGGGGGAATTCCCTTCCTCGTAGAGGGGATTCCCCATTCTTATTCAAGGTATTACCTCAATCCATGGTAGGGGTTACAGGGAAAGACAAGAGAGGAACCATGGCCTGCCAAGGATGGTAGTCAGGTAAGCATGCAGGGGAATTCCCTAAAGGGTGTTTCTCACTCTGCGGCGAATGCTTACGAACGTTTCAAATTTGGATTCGCCAACTTTTCTGACGAATGTTGACGAAAATCAGAGTACGCCTCTGCAACATAGTGACTTTTAGCGATGTTAAGCAACACTTAACAACATTTGAGCGAATGTTTGCAAAAGTTTTTGCGAACGGCAGCTGGCGACTATTAGCGACTGTAAGCAAATGTTTTTCAAAGATTAGCAACTATTTGCCAATTCTTTGCCACTATTTGTAAATATTTGGGATCTGTTTCTAAATCCTGGTACTCAATGGGTCGATCTTTATTTGGGAACCATATGTTAACGTGGTCCCTAGCATCGATAGCACTTCAGCGACACCATCTTACAACCATTTGCAAAGGCTTGCAACTGTTTGTGGAAAAATAAATTTGCAACAAATTTTTGAACTGTTAGTGACAATTGCCTACTGTTTGCAAACTTTCTTGCAACCTTTTACAACCTTTCGCAACCTTTTATGAACCCTGGCGAAATCTCGATTTCGCTACGTTCACAAGCATTAACAGACTTGTTTAGATATGAGATGGCAAAATTGTGGCATTTTGAAATATTTTGCTTAAGTTATTACCGTAATTAACAGTGTATTTACCGCCGAAAAAAATGTCAAAGTCGGGGCTTATACACGGTACACCAAAAAAAAAAAAAGGCGCTATGCCTGACAATGTCTCCCAGCCCGGTAATTGGTGTGTTGACTCACCACTCGGAAACTAGAACAACACTCAAATTTGTCTGTCATCTTGGTTTGAAAGTAATCTTCTGATAGATCTTAATATGTAGTTTATAATAATAATTCCTCCAATTTTTCTTCTATTACATGGTGTACCACAAGGTTCTATCCTAGGTCCTCTACTGTTTTTTAATTTACATTAATGAATGTTTGTTTTTGTTTAAAAGGGCGAAAAAGAGGGGTGCGGTTAATAGACGAGGACGGTTTATACAACGTTAATTAGGGTATACAGGTAATGTGTCTTGAAGTGTGTTTTTACGACTCTGTTTGAGAAAGTTGCCTTCAATTATTCAGATATTCATGCTTAGAGATACTAAGTTAGTCTTTATCTCTTTCTCTCTATCTGTTTTTTTCAGGAAACATTGGTGAATTTAGCAGCTCTTTTTGTAGGCCTCATCATAACTCCAATAGCTTCAAAAAACATTCTGTAAGTCACTGTATAATTTTTAATGCACCTTCTGCAGTGTTAAAACTGTGGTCACAACTCCTTGTCTTTCTTCTAGCATGTGTGGGTGCCCATCTGCGTTAAAGGTATAGACCAGTTTTGGAAATGCCCCCCTCTCAAAAAATGAAATGGAAGCTTTTATTAACAATCATGGGAAAGAATATGTTTTGACTAATACGTGACGATACAAATTTTGCCGGGAAACTGCAAAAATTTAATGTAAAAGATATATAAGTTAGATTACATTGATAAAATTGTAATATAAAGCATCTAAAAAAAAATTGTAAAAAAAGCATTATCATCGCATACCATTAGCTTGCAGTTCCCGATGGAAAATATTGCACGATAGTAAAAAAAGGTCTAGGAGAAGGAAGGAGTGTGTTTCTAGAAAGGTAAGGACTGGCACTGTAAGCTTTATTCAAACTTTTAAACATGTGATGGATCATCTTCTTATCGCATGACCGTACAATACGCACATTAAAAGATTGGCAGTTTGTGGATCCAATTCATGCAGACACAGAGGTAAACATTGATATCTTTCTTTTTTTCCTTTTCAGGCTGACATGGTCTCTTTTCTTTCTCTGCACCTGTCTCCATCTCTACGCCAATTACCGGGCGGTGACGTGCGTCGTCATGGAAACGCTGAATCAGAACAGGTTCCACATCCTGGTCCAGGACTACCTCCACAGTTCTCAGTTCAGCATGTCTGGACCTGATGCCGTGAATAGTAGAGAACCTGTTATATGGAGTAAGTTTTAACAACGTGTATAATTCATCTCCCTTTCAGTAAAAAATGAATCAATGTGCTACATTAAAAAGATATCCTGGGGATTGTAAGACTAAGATCGACTTTAAGTTGGGCCTAACTATGGCAGGCCATTCATGCCACTGGTTGCTCTCCCTATTTGTCTCTTAGTCATGATCTTTAGACAATATTTTTTTCCTTCAATAATGAACGATCACAAAAATGTAAATTCTTTAGATTTGTGACCATGATTTGTACGTCCCTTGAAAAACCAGTGCCAGGAATGGTCAGAGGAACTAGTGGCATGAACGGCCTGCCATAGTTAGGTCCAACTTAAAGTTGATCTTAGTCTTTGTGAAACACTCCCAGGTCCTCTGCCAGAAGAAGAAAATGATTGGAGCAATGTAAATATTTGCTCATTTGATGACTAACAAATTTTCATATGATAAACAAAAGTTTTGGGTTGAACTATATGTAATTTACAGAAATCATAAATATCTGCATACTGTTGTAGATATAAATGCCATTATCAGATACCATTGTGATAAACTGATTAGATTCTCTATTATTTTTTTGATAATTTTTTGTTTTCCTCTTTCTTATTCAAATCTTTTTTCAGTCAGAGTAAAGTCAGGTAATTTTGAAGAAAAAAAGAGACGGAAATCAGGGAATTTTCTTTGCCTCCAAAGTATTTAAATAGTCATAATACCTTCATTACCTTGTCCCTTGTTTAAACAGCATATCCAGCGGATAATTGCCTATGTTAGCATCTTAACACTTCACTTGCTTTCGTCGCCTCTGCACACTCCCTCGTTTACCACCTGTGTAATTTTGCACAAAACAGTAGGCACCAATTGACGGAAAGATTGCTTTGTGCAACACGATTGCTATGCAAAATTACCCATTCCGGTCTTGATTTAGCTCCGTGACGATTAATCTTGCACTAGTGGAAATATCGATGGTGTCTTTGGTATGCATGCATCTTTGCCATGATGCGTACAATGTGGCGGAGGGAGATTCTCAGTTTAGTTTGTAATGAGTTAAACTGGAAACAAGTTTCAATTGTGATCCAGGAATTTAGAACTCCATCAGGGTAAAATAAATGACAAAATCAGGGATTTGTTTTTCAGAAAATGATTGGAAATCTGATATCTGATTGTCCTGTGTATATTTGACATTCAATTGCCCATGTCTTTGGTACAATTATGAGTATTCTTGACAGGCAATCATCAAAGAAACCATTAGAGTAACATCACTTATGCCACTATTTTAGACTACATTAACCCTTTACCTCCGCGTGACGGCTGGGACCTTTACGAAGCCTATGGGAATGATAGAATTCAGCAGTCAAAAGGTCAAAGCAACATATTTTCATGACCTATTTGTTTTTTATACAGGGCTCTCAAGACCTCTAAAGCTTAATCTTGGTGTGCCATTCCGTACAGTAGCCCAAAGGTAAGTTCGCTGAAGTGTCAATAGCACATTCTAATATTCCTGTTAAAGGGGGTGTAGCTTGACAAATACAGACCAAGTTCTCAAGCTTCTCACATAGTCGTATTATACCCGATTGGCCCCGAGTCAGGCCACTGGAAAGACACGTAATCTTGTCATGCCACACTCCCTTTTAGGCCACTTCCCCCTTTTATATCTGGCTCAGGCTGGATTTTCGAAGAAAATTACATTTGACTATTTTCATATAAAATTCCTGCGTTGAGTCCCACATTGTCAGGTGAAAAATAATTTTGAAAATGCAGGGTGTTGTGATTTTTTTTCTGTTAAAGAAAAAGCCTGATCAGCTCTGAGTCTTGGTGACTTTACTTCAGTGGCAAAACTGGCGACCAACTGGGGGGTGTTTCACAAAGACTAAGATCAATTTTAAGTTGGACTTGACTATGGTAGGCCATTCATGCCACTGTTTGCTCTCACCATTTACTGGCATTGGTCTCTCAAGGGATGTACAAATAATTGTCACAAATCTACAGAATTTACATTTTTTATAATTCATTATTGATGGAAAAAATATTATCTAAAGATAATGATGGTGAGAGCAAACAGTGGCATGAATGGCCTGCCATAGTTAAGTCCAACTTAAAGGCGATCTTAGTCTTTGTGAAATACTACCCTGGTAGCCAATTTGGTCTTTGTTCTCTGACTGGAAGGGTTTTAATACCATGCAATTCCGATCGTACAGGACCTCGGCTAAATACTTATCAAGTGTCTGAAATTACATATCTCTGGTAATTTTTGTGGTCGTTTGCAAAATTTGGTTGTAGTTGGTTCAATATTTGTGCATTGGCCTTTAAAAGTGCTTTGTATATGAGACAAATACAAATGCATCCAGATTACAGACATGGAATTGTGAGCTGAAGCTCTGCTTTGTATAATTATCTGAAAACATAGTGTTGATCATAGCAAACTGTTTTTTTAATAATTTTTAACAAATCATGATTTTGCTACATAGAATTGAAATATACCTGTAAAGTGAATATGTAAAATGCTTGCCAATGCACTTGTTATGTGTATTAGTTAATGACTTGTTTTTATCAAATAACATACAAACCATGATTTTTATAAAATACAAATGAAGATAAATGTGTTTATATATTGAAAAATTCATTGAAAAATTCATGCTTTAGTGCTTTTAATGAGATGTTTTGCCCTTTGTTTGGGAAATAATAAACATATTTCTCTTTGATTCATTTATTTATGTTTTGTGTTTGTTTGTTCCAGCATGAGGGACCTTGAGATGTGCTTACAAAGCAATGGACAAGAAAAGTTTTGTTGAGTTTTGACGTGAAAAAAGGTGAGCCCTTATTTCTACCTAACTGCTTTGTTTTCATTGATGAGTCAATTTGTAAAAACAAATGTATCTATTGATCCATGGAATTCATGAAATCATTATGAATTCTTCTAGCTAAACAGTTGTGAAAATTGCTATTTTCTCATCATGCTATTCGTTTCTAGTCACTTTCATATAAATCTTTTTCTGAATAATTGATACTGGCCATTGGTTGTAAGAACCCATCTATTTTACTTCATTGAATGACCCTACTCTCTTTTCCTGTTGCCTTTATTTGTATTTTTTTAATTTTTATTACATTTTTATTTTATCTCTTATATTATCTCTTTCTTCTCTTCATAGAGGTATTTGAAATATGGGGAATTCAAAATGAATGTTGTTATTTATTGGCGCTTAAAAAAAAATGAAAAGAAAAGCTGAAATAAACTAGTTTCCAGTGCTTATTAAATTACTATTATTATTAAGTACTTGGCATCACCTGTGACTGGGAGGTGAAAAGCGAACTGAATCACTGTAACCCTCGGGTCTCTCCTCTTGGTATAACTGATTGGGGGTGTGCAGGTGGACCACTATACCGGGGTTTCCCCCTACTCTTATACAAATAGTACAGTGGGTTCTTAAGTGAAAAGGTGGTGAATCTCCTCTACAAGGGGACTCCAATTAACGTTCTTTCTGAGCGACATTCTCACATGTTTTGTATGACTTTATTTCCTAGGTTGTATTGATATTGCAATACATCATGATAGTACATCAGAGGATTTTATCAAAGCATGTCTACAGGCTGAAATCATCATGTATACTACATTCCATCTCCATGACAACAGGGTAGGTATTCTCCCTTCATTACATGATCTTACAAACAATTCCCATCAAACATATACAGTGGAACCTCATTATAATGACCTCTGATATAACAAGGTGATTTTTTGCTGGTCCCAGCTCTTTACATTTTTTTTTTACCCTGATATAACAATATTCCTGATATTAACAGGATTTCTGATAGGACAAGGTAATTTCCAATGTCCCAAGAACCTCGTTATAATGAGGTTTCATTGTAATACTAGAACAGCTTTACCCTGGACAAACATCTTCCTGACGACTACCCTTGGGTAACTACCCCACCTCCTTCCCTGGGATAACTACCCCACCTCCTTCCCTAAGCATAGTGACAAATACCTCCCGCACAACTATTTAGAACAATAAACTAATGAGCTTGGTTTCGCCCTTGGTTATTTTTGAAGGGAATTTAGGTAAATTTTGATTGGGTATTTTTTTTTTTGGAGGGGGGAGGAGGAGGGAGGAGGAGGGAGGAGGAGGGAGGAGCGTTCCTATGGGGTAGTTGTCCTGATATGCTATTGAACAGATAGATAGGTAAGTAATCATTGTATACATACATTCTTCATGTCCTTATGTGACACCTTGAAACTAGAATATGACACCTGGCCGGGACCTGATTATAAACAAAGCCTTTTTTCAATGACAAATGACAAAATTAGTGACAAATCTGCTGATAACCAATCAGAAGCAAGGATTTCAGTAGCTTATAACAAAAACTGTCATTTTTCACTGATGAAAAGTTTTGTGAAATGCCCCCCCCTGTTGTTACAGGAAGATCTAGTCAATTAAAGGGGAGAAACATGTGCTCTCCATACACATTTTTTTTGAAGAAATATGTGTATCAACACACTCATAAGATTAGCCTTTGTAGCCAGTAAAATAATATTTGCAATACTTTTAAGCTATTTATATATCCCTTTCTTTTCTTTTGATGTGTGTGATACTTGCAGGTGCACGGTGACAATTTGTCCAGAGAACTTAAAGATATCTTAGAAAGAGGTAAGATATGAAATGATAATAAAAATATGATCTTATTTACCTAGGGTTGCCTTATCAGTATTAGAGGGGAAATCCACCCTGCCAATTACCTGACATTGATAAAAGGAGAGGAGCAGGTCAGTGAAAGTTTTGAGTAAAATCCAATTAAAAATTAGAAAGTAATGAATTTTGAAGTTGTGATCAATCAAACAGTCTTCAACAGTCTTACAAGGTTTTCTTCAGTTTGCTGTGTACAGAAAATGTGTAAAATTTCATTTTCTTAGTTATTGATGACAGAATAATTTGTTTCATACAGGGGTTGTATAAAAACACAATTGTAATAATTGTAACTAGGGTGCATGTATGACTGGAAAACTTCTTTATGGAACATAGAAATTCCATGACGAGGCACCATTTAGGAAATTCTTTGTACAGTGTACCCATATGTCTTGCCCGGCAAAGGGCGTTAATAGAATGGCAGGATTTGAACGCTATAACATGTGCTTCATACATCTATGACTTGCCATCTAAACCACTACACCTCCACTTGATGTACACATTGACATTTTGGCAATCATTATTTTTGTTTTCCTTGTTTCCATGGTAATCTATCTAGGTGTGTACATGAACAGAGACGATGCCTGGCAAGCAGTCAAGGTGTCCGGCCAGATATGCAACAAACTCTTCCCAAGGTTTCTTCATGACTTGCCATCTAAACCACTACACCTCCACTTGATGTACACATTGACATTTTGGCAATCATTATTTTTGTTTTCCTTGTTTCCATGGTAATCTATCTAGGTGTGTACATGAACAGAGACGATGCCTGGCAAGCAGTCAAGGTGTCCGGCCAGATATGCAACAAACTCTTCCCAAGGTTTCTTCATGACCTAGGTCAAGCTGGCTGGGTCAAAGGTCATTCACAGCTGGGCGCCGATGAATGGAGAGCAACGTGGAATATCAGTGGGGTTGATGCGAGGAAAGTGTTCTGAAGTACAGGTCAAAGCTCAACACAAGGCAAGGTCACAGGGTTCATGAATATTCATGAGAATATAGGCAGACATTGTTGAACTTTGTAAATGGTTTTGATTTCTGGGTACAGGGGTGTGAAGTCATGCGACCCCTATTTCAAGTTACTCCTTTTGTTATCTTTGTTATCCTTTATTTCATCCTTCTATCATATTTTTCCTGTTTTTCCTTATGTTATACTTATGTTAATATATATATATATGTTATGTTTTTTTTTATGGTATCGTCCTCTTTGTTTTCCCTACTGTTTTAGAAAGCTCAGTATTTTACCTTGATAGAACACAGTGTAGTATATCATGTGCCCATTAGAAGGTTTTAGCAATGGTTGTCCTAATGTAGTGGAGGGTATCCCTATACTATTAGGAATTGCAATGCCAACACCCTTCTGGCAAGGCACGTAATGACTTTAACAACTTAGCTCTGGAATGTTCATAGAATACTAGTGCAGTGTACAGTTTGCAAATAGATTATTTATACGCCTGGTAAACGTGATGTTTTTTTTTTTTTCCCCCCGTAACTGAAGATTGAAAGGTGGACTGGTTGAACTAAGGCCTTTTTTTTTAAATACTTCTAGATGTAAGCTTCAGTATGTCACATTCTCAAGAAAAATAAATTTGGACAAATAAACTGTTCACATACTTAAAAATCCTACAAAAGTTGGTAAGGATATGAATAATTTAGTTAACTGTATTTAATGTAGCACTGTATTGTATTTAAAATCCAAGAATATCTCTGTATAAAAAATGAATATATAAATAACACCGTTTTTGTTCATAGCATCAGATGTACTGTACATATCATTTTCAATTGTTGTTCCAGTGAATTTCACCTTTTCAAATGTATTTTGCTGAAATAATGTACACTTAATTCTGTATCATGTGACCATATAGAGAGAAATACCTACTAAAGTTACTAAATACAACCAAATACAAAACGATGTGTATCTGTCACTGGTTTATATATGAATTCAAAAAGAAATATTTTCTTGCACTTCTTTGACTACCACTTCTTCTTCTTCAAATTGGCAACAGGCATATTTTCTTTTATTGCTACATTGTTCTAATACAATTTCATGTTTCTGTAAGCAGAGTGCATGTTCCTGAACTACATGTATGTTGAAAAAAAAAAAATCCAATTTTGTTTCAAAATGTAATTTTGAACTTTTCACTTTGTTGCCAATTTAAAGAATTTGAAGCTTATCTCCTTTAAAAAAATTCCTGGCGTCAAATATGGTCATGCAAGAACATTGGATAGAATGTGTGCATCAATCTCACTCACCCTCTCTCTCTCTCTCTC